GCCTCTCTCATCTTTTTAAGTGGGAGAACTTGCACAATTGGTGGCTGACTAAATACTTCTTTGCCCCACTGTACTTCAATGCAAGCTAAAAGTGTGGCCATTCTGGTTTCAAAAGGATTTTCAATTCAGGCACAAGAAGTTATTATTGATCTAAATGGGAGATATTTAATTTATGTGCTAAAATAGAGGGGATTGTAATAGCTATAGTTAATGTTATGGACCTAATTTAGATACTCCTGTTATGTTTTACGAATGTTTTTGGCATTTGAATGAGTATATGTATAATAAAGTAGTAATAGGAGATTTTAATGAAATATTGGATCTTGAACTTGATAGAAATACACTGGTACCAAAAAAACAAAACAAAACAAAACATACAGACACACATTAGTGATGGAAACAATTAAGGGTTATATGGAAGAAATGAATGTAATAGTCCCCTGGCATTTGATGTATCCAACTAAAAGAGAATATACATTTTATTCAAATGTGCACAAAATTTTTTTTAGGCTTGATTATTTTTTAATATCATCAACCTTATATCATCAAATTCAAGAATGTAAAATTGATGTTTGTTATGTATCAGACCATAGTGCAATTACTTTGAAATGTGCATTTCACAAACTGGTCAAGATGTCAAGAAATTGGTATTTCAGTGTTTCCTTATTGAATGATAAAGAATTTGTACAACAAATATAGGTGGAAACTTTACAATATTTTGATTTGAACTCAGAGACATCAAGTGCCTGAATTAATGAATGGGAAACACATAAATCATATATTCGAGGACAAATTATTGCTTATGCATCATACAAAAATAAAATTAAAAATAAAAAGAGGAAACAATTTGAAAGATGAACTGAAACATTTATGGGCTCAGATGGCTAGATGCCCATCTACTACTCGGTACAGAGAATTACAGAAAAAGAAATAGGTAGTAAATACTATAATATCACAGCAGACAGAATTCATGCTAACATGTTTATGACAGAGATACTGGGAGAATGTGAAAGACCTGACAAGATTTTGGCTAGTTGCTTAGGAAAAAGAAAGTAAAAGAAAGATAGGGCAGTGATTCCAATTATTAGAGGTGAAAGAGATGAAATATATAAAACTTCAATGGATACAGGATTTTTAAAATTCTACTGAGAATTTTATATCAAACCAGAGAATGCATTGAATGAAGATATAGAAGCCTTTCTAAATAAAATTAACCTACCTTATTTAAATGATACACAAAAACAACTTTTATGTCCTCCACTATCTGAGGTAGAGATTAAACAAATAATCTTAAAAATGGCAGGTGGTAAAACACCAGCCATTGGATGACTTCCCTATAGGGTGGTATAAAACATTGATAGATCTTTTGGTGCCAAAACTTTGTCAATTGTATGATGAGATATTTGATAAGGACATCTTATCAGCAACATTTAATCAGGCATATATTACAGTTATACCAAAAGAAGATAAAGATCACATTCAATATGCTAATTATTGTTCAATCTCATTGATCAATGTTGATACAAAATTTTAACAGCAGTGTTAGCAAATAGATTACAGCAGGTGATATCGTTCATTATTAAGAATGACCAAGCAGGGTTTATAAAAACTAGCCAAGCAGCAGACAACATTAGATTAGTTGTAGATTTAATAGACTTGAATAAAAACAAAGATCAATTTGTAATTTTATCATTAGATGCTGAAAAAGCCTTTGACAAAATAAATAAACAGTACATGTTTGCCATACTAAACAGGTTCAGATTTCCTTTGAAATTCATAAAATGGATTAAGATAGTATACGAGTCACCCACATCCAAAGTAAAGGTTAATGGCATGTTCTCTACTACTTTCTCACTATTTAGAGGAATTGGACAAGGATGTCCACTTTCACCTTTTCTTTTTAATATCTGTGTGGAGCCCTTGGCTTGTGCTATTAGACAACATAGGGAGATCTACGGAGTAGTACATAATTCAGTTGAATATAAATTGGTTTTATTTGCAGATAACATTCTTTTGCTTATTTTTAAACCTCAAACTACTATTCCAGTGCTGATGCAAATAATAGTTGCCTTTAGTAAAACATCAGGATACTTTATTAACTGGTCCAAATCAGAATTGATGCCAATAGGTGAAAATTTGGTTACCCATCCAGTTAAGAAATATCAATTCCATATTTTTACTGAATCCATTAAATGCCTTGGCATGTGCATACCAAAAGATATAACTCAGTATCATGCAATATAAATAAAATATATAGAGAGGTTTCTTCAGATATCGATAGATGAGAGTCATTAAACCTT